TCATTAAAGGATGTCATGAATTACTTGCTTAAACATAAAAGTAATAGTTCCATTACAAAAAGTTAAAAACATTAATTTATATTTTATTTAAAATAAAAAATATCAATAAAATTAAAATGTAGCTCCTCTGAATGAGGACAACCAGTCTAAAACCAATGTTCTAAAACAAAGATGGATGCACTCAGGAGGTATTATTCATAGGTACATTTTAATCAGTTATTAATTAAATAATTATATAATTAATATAAAATCAGACAGTACAGTGGAACAGTTGGTAGAGCAACATATTGCCTCTATGGAAGAAGACTGCAAGATCAACTTTCTGTTCTGTGTTTACATGTTGTCCCTGTGCAGGAGTGAGTTTTCTCCAGGTACTCCAGTTTTCTCTCACAGACCAAAATCATATTTATCATATGACATAAAAAAGCAAATAACTTAATAGTTTGGGATAACACTACCGTAGACGTAATTTGTAATTTTGCTTGTTTTAGTCTTAATTTCCAGTTTTAGGTTTTTATAATTACAGGTTTTCTTCACAAAAGTAATGTCAACAATCAAATAAAACTTTTATCATTCATAGAAGAGGTGATTGGCTTTAAAATTTAAAAAGCTTGTTCCTTGTAAAAGTCTTTAAATTATATATTTGGACATTTTTAAATAAAATGATAACCATCACAGCAGTCATTTTTGAAGGGAAGTTTCCCCATCACATTTAAAGTTTAATTAATTTGAACCTCCACATTTACCATAAAATATTACTTCACTCAGTGCTGTTTCGTTCCAATTTCATTCCACCTGATTTATAGAATAGTCYCATCAAGTGTTTTCCTATGGATTGTTGTTTCTCAAAGGTCTGTTTAACAACCTGTTAATATACTCCAGAATGCAGGAAATGGCATTTACTTATTTCAAAATTTTCTGGGGGAGGACCCCCAGATCCCCAACCAGTGGGTTCCCCCAACATTGCAAATACTTCTGATGCCACTGAAATATGTAAGAATGTAAAAACAATTTATAGTTCTCCATGTGTAAAGATACAGGACAAGTTAGAATATGGCTGCTGCAGAAGTGCAGATAGTTTGGATTCTTGTTTTTTGTCTCTGAATGTCACAAAATCAGTAATAATCATAACAATTCTGTTATAGATATTAGTTTTGGTCTGCCACCCCTGGTTTTTTAGTGGCCCCCCAATGGCCCCCCTGAAAAAAAATTCTGCAGGCGCCACTGCTCTGAGCTAAATGCAACATTTTCAAAATATAATATTGACTCAGTTTTATGTTTTTTAGTATTGCTTCTCAAAGTCGTTGATTCTTTGCCATTTATTTATAAATAATAAATCAGATAGCATGTGTTAAAGCAGTGATTCTCCACCCTGGTCCTCAAGGACTCCTTTCCTGCAGGTTTAGATGTTTCTCTGACTTGACATACCTGGTTTGAATGAATGAGTGATTAACAATCTTCTGAAGACCTGTTGAATAGCAGGGAAACAAGTCAAACATGCTGGATTGGGGCTCTTGAGGACCAGGGTTGGGCAGCTCTGCGGGGCGTCATCCCACCTAAAACCTGTTTTTCTATTATTTTTAAGGTATAGGCTTCGATTTATTAGGTTATTATGAAACAAGTACTATATTATGTCAGAATTACAGTACATGTGGTTATAATGGGAGTCAATGGGACCAAATTGGGCTAACGAGTGTACAGTCCGTGCAAATCTCCTATTCTAAATGACTTAGTATAAAGTGGGTCATGAAATTTGAAAAATGATCTTAAAAAACAAATCCTGGTCAAGTTTCATGAAAAATAGTCTTTAAACTGACTTAGAATCAAAAATAGGAAAATAGCAGAATGCACACGTTTGGTACAGCAAGGGTTAAGTTTAATCTGGAACTAATTTAATTCTGCAGGAGGGATAAAGGGATTCTTCTTGATTTCATTCAAATATAGTTTTTATAGCAATTAAAGACACTTAAATATTTTAACGATTCATTTAAAACACCTGAGAATAAAAAACCAGAGCTCACCTGTTGGTCCCAGTGAGACAGATAGGTGTTGAAGGTTAGAAACGTCTCCTCCTGTCTGCTTCTGCCCAGGTGTCTCTGTCTTTTATAGAGCCCAGGTGATGCATGGGTGGGTGGTCTCAGTACACAAGTGGGTTTTAGATGAAACTGAATCCTCCACATCCTGCAGGAACAGACAGATAAATGTTTGTTTAAATCCATCCTCACCTTCATGTCAGGTGGTCTGACCAGGAACAGAACTGCTCTGACTCTGTGGAACCAGAACCAGAGAAATAGATTTATGTTCAGATTTCAATAGAACAGTAAAGGAAGAAAGGTTTACATATTTTTCAACACTGATTGCTGCCAATTCTCACAACCCAAAGCAGCTTTTTAATACTAACTCATTAACTCGTCCTCCACCCTCTACAATGGAAATCTCGTCAATAGAAAGATGTAAATTTTTCTGCTCCTTTTTTCTGAGCAAAGTCTCGAATATGAGGGCGCAGATTGTATCATCTGGTTCTGGTCACACACAGGTTTTACAAACTGGTTTGACTTTTAATTCTTTTGTTCTTCTGTCTCATTCTGATCTACGAAGAATTGTCAGTGACATGAAGCCATCCTCCTCTCTATTTAATGTTTTACCAATTAGACTTTTTAATGACATTTTTACTTTTTTATCTACTGATCTTTTACGGCTTTTAAACAATTCTTTAAGTTTAGGTGTTGTGCCTTCAGCATTTAAAACTCCATCTGTTTTAGCTTTATTAAATAAACCTGACCTGGACACTAATGATTTTAACAAGTATAGACCTGTTTCTAAACTACCTTTTATGTCAAAAATCTTTTTCGTTTTTAATCAATTATTCACATTTTTAAATAAAAATTCTGTCTTTGAGAAGTTTCAGTCTGGCTTCTGTAGGCACCATAGTACTGAAACTGCTTTACTAAGGGTAGTGAATGATATAAGAAAGAACTCTGATGCTGGTCGTTGTTCAATCCTAGTTTTATTTGACCTATCAGCTGCATTTGATACAGTGGACCACTGTACTCTAATTAATCGCCTGCAATACTCTGTGGGTATGAGTGGAACTGATCTGAACTGGTTTAAATCTTATTTAAATGATAAGTTATTCTGTGTATCAATTGGTAACAGTTCTTCTGAAGTGGTAAAACTTACTTGTGGCGTTCCACAAGGTTCAATTCTTGGCCCACTGCTATTTTCTATTAACATGTTAACTCTTGGTCAAACCATTCGCAAATATAATGTGTCTTTCCACCTTTATGCAGATGATGCCCAAATATATTTATCCATTGATGCTTCTGATCTGTCTGCTCTAAACATCATAAGTTCTTGTCTTAATGATGTTAAGGTCTGGATGTCAGATAWTTTTTTTTATTGTTAAACAATAATAAAATGAAGCTCTTTGTTTTGGGCCCTAAGACTCATAGACCCTATAATTCAAAGTCTTAATTCTTCAGGTTTTAATTGCTCTCATGAGGCCAGAAACCTTGGGGTGGTTCTAGATTCGGATCTGAGCTTCACTAAACATTTTAATAGTAGTGGCTTTTATCACATCAGAAATATTGTCAAATTAAGATCAATTATCTCATTTGCAGATACTGAGTCATTCATTCATGCTTTTAGTTTTTGTCATCTTGATTACTGCAATTCACTGTTTGCTGGTCTGCATAATAAAATCCTTAAACCCCTCCAGTCCCAAAAGTTTGATCATATCACAACTGTTCAAGCTTCTTTACACTGGTTACCTGTGGTTTTTATGATTGATTTTAAGATTGCATTGATAGTTTTTAAATCACTGAATGGACTTGCACCTTCTTATATTTCAGAATTACTCACACCATATACACCACTGTGACCTCTGAGATCATCGGATCAGTCACTACTTAGTACCCAGAATAAGACTACAGACAGAGGGTTAAAGAGCCTTTTCTGTTGGGGCTCCTGTTTTATGGAATGCACTGCCACTTTATATCAGACAAACTTCTTCATTGTCCTCTTTTAAATCTCTTTTTAAAACATATTATTATCAGATGGCTTTTAATTGTTGACTTTTGCATGATTTTTATTTTGTGCTATGTTTTTATGTGTTTTGATTTTACTATATGATGTAAAGCACTTTGTAACTGTGTTTTGAAAGGTGCTATAC